AGTCCTGTAGTGGTGATGTAGTTGTTAGAGTCAGGGTTTGAATCCAGGTCTGTTTGGCTCCAAAGCCTTCCATGGAAAATAACTTTTTCTCCTCAAGGAAGTGGCTAAGGAATAGTGATGAGCACAGGCAGTTTGGAGGGAGAAAGTACTGTAGGAAGAAAGGAGAAGGGTGGACCAGTGGGGAAGAGCTAGATTAGCTGTGTGAGAAGTGGCGACTTGCTGGCAGACAGAGTAGGCTGAACAAGGGCTGGAACAGAATGGAGCACGGAGTATAGAGCACAGAATGAGGACGTGAAAGAAGTTTGGTGGCTGTCTTAGTGTTCTGTTGCTGTGAAGAGACACCAAGATCATGGAAACTTTTTGTTTTTATAAGATTTATTTATTTATTTATTTATTTATTTATTTATTTATTTATTTATTTATTTATTTATTTATTTATTTATTTATTTATTTATTTATTTATTTATTTATTTATTTATTTATTTATTTATTTATTTATGGTGTTCTGTCTGTATGCCTGCACACCAGAAGAGGGCACCAGATCTCATTATGGATGGTTGTGAGGTACTATGTGGTTGCAGGGACTTGATCTCAACACCTCTGGAAGTGCTCCTAACCTCGGAACCATCTCTCCAGCTCCACCATGGCAACTCTTTTAAAGGTAAGCATTTAATTGGGGTTTGCTTATAGTTTCAGAAGGTTAGCCCATTATCATCACGGCAGGAAGCATGGTGGAACGCAGACAGACATGGTGCTGGAGTAGTAGTTGAAATTGGCAAGCAGCAGGAAGAGAGAGACACTGGCCTGGTTTGAACATTTGAAACCCCAAAGCCCACCCCCAGTGACACACTTCATCCAACAAGGCCACACCTACTAATCTCTCTTAAAAAGAGCCATTCAAATATATGAGCCTATGGGAGTGATGGGTGGGTCATCTATTCCTATTCAAATCACTTTAGTGGGGATGGAGCCTGGCTTAATGCCATGAAGCTGGTGGTAGGAGATGTGCACTCAAAAGCAGAGTGAGGGACTCAGACCTTACAACAGGACAAGGAGTCAGGGAAGGATTTGACAAAGAAAGAGGATCTCTGTGAATAAAGTACAATGATATATATGTATAAAAAACGCCACAGGTAAGTTGTTATTTTATATGCTAAGATAAACAATGATAATGATGGAATGACAGGAAAGGATTTTGCATTCAGTGTCAGGTGTGATTTTACCCACCTGCAAATCTGGCATTTAGGAGACGGAGGCAAACGCACTGTGAGTTTGATCCCAGCCCAGACTGCTTTAGGAGAGCCTATCACATAAAAAAAAATACATGTATATGTAAAATTGGGGGACATTTTACCCTGGTGCATATAGGGTGAACTGTAAGAGAACAAGTCAAAGGGAGGAGACAGATAAGAAACTGTAGGTAATCGGAAAGAGGTTGCATGGCTCTCATAAACAGTGACAATGGCAGTTAAGTGATCCGTGAGTGGGGCAATGCTAGCTGCTGTAATAAGTAAGCCTCAGCCTTTTAACCATTCAATACAGTTGTTTATTTCAAGCTTCCAGATGGGTCTTCATAGAGCTCTGTGGCCACAGAGAGTAGGACTTCTTACCCACAGTGGTTCTGCATGGAGCTAGACAACAGCAGAGAGAAAGATATGAACCTACAAGGCCCAGCCTACAGCCTTCTGCTTTTCAGAACATAGTCACAGCTTGACGCAAGAGGCTCTGCAACATAGTCTAGCTTAACTGCTGCTCTATTCCTCACTACAGAGAGAGCAATTGATGGAACTTTCTCAGCCCTGAAAGAAGAGGCACCTTTAAGGGTGGTAAATAATGAGGTGCTGTCAGGCATTAGGAAGAGAGGAGTCAGGCGTGACAGAGGAAATCCTTGCTCTGACAAGCTCCCATTGGCCCAAGAACCACAGTGACCATCCCTGTCCCCAAATTCTCTACTTCCAATCAGCTCACAAGTGGTGAGCTTAACATTTTTTTCCCCTGATACAAAATTGTGCAGACCATTCTAATCTTGTCCGTACAGCTGTGGGCAAAGTTTTCTATCAATAACAGCTAGCTTTATTCAGTGTGACATATGAGCCTTTTATGGACTTTCCCAAGTAGTGTGCCAAAGGAAGCAAGCATTTTAAAAAAATTATTAACTAGTGTACAGTTGTGAAGATAAGGGTCATGGAAAAGTAGTTTGGCCAAGATCTGGGAACTGAGAAAGTCCCGGTAGGAGGTGTAGGCTGTCTCCAGGGTCTATATACCCAGCCTTCATATGATACCAGACCATGTGTTCAGTAAGATTAGGCTACTTCAAGTTTCTCTTTTTAAAACTAAAATGTAATTACATCATTTACCACCTTTCCTTTTCTCCCCTCAATCCCTTCCATGCTTTGTACTCCCTCTTAAAATTATGGCCCTTGTCTTTAATTGTTCTTAAATAGATAAATCCAATGTGATTAGTCCATTTAGTGTTACTTGTATGTGTATGATTTCAGGGCTGACAACTACCCCCCTGCATCTCAGGCTTAGGGAACAACTCAGAAGAGGGGAAAAGAAGATTGAGACAGTCAGAGAACCAGGAAATCTGTGACACTGTGTCTCCTAGAAATGACAAAGAAGTTTCACCTATGATACCTCAACAACGTGGCTGCCTAAACAAGCCCTGTATAGGTTCACTAACATGGAAGAGGGCAAACCTCACAGGAACCTACATGGAGACAAAGAACTACAGGCAACTCAGGAATGCTGAGATCAGGAGAACTGTGTTAAAGGGTTATGCTATTTCTTGAAGTAAGAGGCCTAGAAGGGAGAGGGGAGTGAGGTTAGTGCAGGTTGAACGTAACCCATTGGAGGTGTTCAGTGACATTTTCTTTCTCCTATTTTTTTAAACATGTATTTTTTTTACGTGTGTGTGTGTGTGTGTGTGTGTGTGTGTGTGTGTGTG